GGCGTTATCGATCGGGCGTCTATCAGCTGGATGGGCAGTGGCTAGGCTGACTAGCATTGGAGGAGGTTGAATCAGCTGGACGAGCTGCCCAGCTCACAAACCGACTCGAATGGGCGGCGCCAAAGAGGCAATTAACGAGCCCATGCGCCCCAATGGCAAGGTGGTTGCGAGGGGCCGCGCCAAACGACCGCCTCCCAAGGCGGGTAACGCCGTCGAATTGAGAATCAAAACAGCAGAGGGGGAAGGGTATAGCATGATAGATCCAGGATAGTATCATGTATGGGGTGCTAGAGTTTCTCGACACGTTCTTCAACTGTTCATAAAAGAAATTGCCTTTGAATGCGTATTTTCTGTGTACAATGACTTTCGGTGCACAGCTGGTATTCAAGTGCTTCAATTCTTATAGGCAAGTCCGGTATCGATTCACCGATCTCGGAAGGACAAAAGGCTTGATTCAATCAAAGGAGAAAAAGGACAGAGATCTGTACTTCCAAAAGATAAGTAGGATTTTCAAGTTCTCATTCCTGTGTAGAAGTCGATTGTTACAATTCCGTCGGCCATTATGTACAATGGCACGCCAGCGAATTCACATACATTTTTACAACCATCTACATGTATTGGGCTCCTATTTTTGGCAATGAATTCGATAAGGTTTTGTGATATGTGGGTTAGGTTCAACACCATTTGACGCATACTTTCGAACTTGTCTTCTCAAGAGTTCAACCTATATTTTTTGATTTAAGAATGGAACAGCAGCATCACACATCCGCAGGTGCAGTTCACGCACCAAGAACATTAGATGTGACCTTACCTCAGCTGCAGCATTCTTCTAATTCATTGTCTCGACCAGCAGCACCATCTCCTGTAAGTCTTTGCTCAATTAAACTTGTTTTCCTTCATTGATACATCATGGTTGGTTCTGCTGTATTGCTCTACATCAAGGCTGCCGGCGAGTCAGCTCCACACAGTGAAGTCAAGCGCTGTCAAAATTTCAGGGTAAGTGTCGGAGTTCCTTCTATTGATTTAATGATTAACTACTTTTTTCTTCAGTCTGGAACATTACCTCACAGTATTATGGTCGACTACCCCTTCATACCACCAAATCGGTCCGTAAGCGAATCTCAAGGATTTTATCAGCTTCAAGCTGTTCGTAAGTGTTTACCTTTCTATGGAAGTCGTTCTAAAGTTGTTCCGAAAATGTTTTCTTAAATATCAGTTTATTTGCCTGTTGTACTGTCAGAATCCAAAATCACTCACGGTCTTGTTAGGTCAGATCATTACCAATAAAATTAAGGCATATCTTCTTAAACATACATTCTCGAAATACCGCTGTAGAGGTCCTTACGAAAAATCCGAATTTCTACCAATCTCTGAAAAGATTTTCGTTGCTAGTCGAATATAAACATATGCGTGAAATAACGCTATTATTACTGTGCTTGTCATATCATTTGTTCTTCATTTGCTCATCGTGTTGCGCAAGCGCGTACCACAAGCGCATCCATTTGTTACTCTCTAATCTGAATGTGTCGGTTCGACTGGACATATGTACGTTTGGAGTATTTTCCAAAATGCATTTACCGACAAAGACGTTAACTAGTTGCTAGCTTTCGGCCTAAGTAGGAATTTGAGCTCGCTACCGTGTTTTGCATCAGAAGATTTGAAACAAGAACGGGTAGAAGCCGATCAGTGAATTGATTTGGAAAGGTATCATACGAGTTACAGTAGCGTTCAAAGCAATCGTCGAGATGGTTTTGTGATTTTTTTCTTGTTTGGTAATTTTGCTTCAAAATTTAGTTTTTAATACAGTTCATATCATAAAACGCGTTATACAAAGGAGGTCAGGAGATCAAGCGTCCTTTCTCCTTCTTTCTTCTTTCTTATCACTTCCCTCTTCCTTCTTTTTCTTTCTTCTTTCTTCTTCTTTCTTCTTTCTATTTCTTTAATCCTTTTTCTTTCTTCCCCTTTCTTTTTCTTTCCTCTTTCTTCCTTATTCTTTCTTATTTCTTCTTCTTTCATCTTTCTTCTTTTCCCTAATATCGATTCCGCTCATTCGCAGTGGCGCATTCAGAGTTTTTGTTGAAGACGTTCATTTTAAGCAGGGAGTGGCACAGGTTTGAAGTTGATCCTTGATATACCCCCACCGTGACAACTATTGCTTCAGTTAGGCTGAATGGAGTGGATGTTGTGTGGACCCACCGGTGTGCCTTTGACCATGTAGATCTGTTGTTTCAGAACGTTCCTTTCTCGGAGCGTTCTCTAGAGGAATGTGGCGGAAGGGGATTGAAAACCTCTCTCAAGTGGAACGCAAGGTCTATTCTTTCTTCTGTACTCCTCCATCGCTTGTTTAGCTTTGAAGATGACATCAATTGTAGGCCTTTGAGGTATGAGCCCAAACAACTGTGAGATCCGGACCAATTCACCAGTCTCGAGTCAACTGGCCACTCGTACAACTCCATATTATGCGCAATCAACCTAATCTCACGGTAGTTGGAGCACTCCACCGCACCCTCTTGGTGGTGGATGATGTTACTGCTCCTCCGCCTGGTATTCTTGCTCTAGTTGCCGCGGTGTTCAGGAACCGGATGAGCCATATGATCCCGTGCTCTTCGAGCGCCTGCCGTACCTCAATCGCTACCCTACCCCGATCATTTGGCTTCTCAACTTCCATCTTCCATGTTGCTCTGCACACGTCATCCTCTGTCCACAGTGCGGCGGGCCCAGCCTTAGCTTCTTCCTGAGAGCTGCATTCGCGCTGGAATTCATCGTTTAGTAATCTATCAAAGTGTTTTTTCATGTACACATGAGCTCCTCTCCGGGCTTCCTCACTTCTACGCCGTCACTGACTTTCACAGCCCTCTTTGCTCTGGAGTTTTGAACGAATAGCCTCTTGCCGCGCTTTGACCAGCCGGAAGACGAGCTTTTCCTTTTCGACCATCGAGCTTCTCATAGAGCTTCCAGTCCCGTATGCTTTGCTTTTGACGGTATTTCAGCTAGCCTCTTGCAAATTCTATAGTTAGTTACTTAAAAAGGTCCTTTGACGATCTCGTCTTTTGCCAGCGTATGCATCCTTTTTCCTGTTCTACAACTTTCTGAACTCCACTGTTCCAAAACCATGCTACCTTGTCACCTCCGAGTCCACCTCGAATCTTCTCCTGGGCAGCACTGTTGTGTTATATTGCTTCACTCAAATTTGACACAACTTTATGAAACAGCAAACAACAGGCTTACAGGCTACAAGCGAAGACAGCGAGGCAATGTCTTGCCTGGCGGCGTGGTTCTTGAGTCACGTCCTTGACCGTGCGACCATAGAGTTGGCACCCGGCACGAGCCAATGATAAATGTGTGACGGTGACAAAAAAGCACAATTGTAGGTATCACTTGTTTCGACCGATGTACTGAATTCCTCGGTTGACGTCGGTTTGGTCTCCTGCATTTTCGCACACTTGCTCCGAACCACGTTATGAATAGAAATATCGGTTGACGAACAACGTTACGCAAACAACGTGATAGTGGTCGGCAGAATGATGATGCGCTGGCTCAGCGAGAGGTCAGAGGGCGAACTCATCAGTGCTGCAGTCGAATTAAGTGCAGAAGAATACAGGTAACTAGTCGAAGAGTGATACGAATAATAGAAGTGTCTTGAAGAGCGATGGGCGATGGAGTAGGGAAAAGACGAGGGCATATAGCGACGCAGTATGTAGGGATGCGACGGAAAGAGAGTACATGAGGGGGCGCTGTAGCACTATGGAATCATGTTCAGTAAATGTCAGTGAATACCATGATTCGAGGCAAGTGGTTGGAACCTGAAGTGTATCATAGATTGCGTCCAGCTTGGCAGTCTGCGCGTACTATATAAGACGTATTCCGTCGTCGAATTGGTCGGGCATGAATGTATGAAATGACAGTTCATTTGGAAGACGATGCTTGAGCAGGAAAGATGGGACGGCCACAGCTACAGCTCCATGGTCTGTCGGCACACGTTTCTCATTGCTGCAGGCTTTGTGCAAGCCAGCTTATGACACTTCAGAATGATGAGAGGATTGTCGCGGTAAGCTGCACGATCGATTTCATCAGCTGAGGAAGGAGGTCAATACTGGTTTAACCCATTAACGACCGCGTGGCCCACCGGCGAGCCACGGTAGTATTTACATTATTTATTATACGTTCTTAAAATTTTTGACTTTTTCAAGCATCATATAGACTTTGAGTTCATGTAAATACAACATAGAAAAGACCAAGATCAAGCGTTATCAACTGGTCAATACTTATACTACGTGTAAGTTTGGAAAAACACTCGAACCAATGTTTTTGTGATGAAACCCTTTTGGCACGACTTATAAGCACGATCTTTTTCCTCAGAGATGTGGCAGCTAGTGCATCTTCTCCAGCTCTCTGACTTTCATTCCGATTTGGAAATTGTTTTCGGAGAGGAAGGCTTGCCGGAAACACTTCGAATTGAGAGTCCCACAAGGCTTAGCTTAACAATGCTATTTGCCTCTAGCCAATCTATCAATCCATGAGGGTTTTATCTTCAAGGGAGGGGGTCTTTGGGGACAAAACCTCATGTTAGACAAAGTTTTATGATGTTTCACTGGGTCCGGAGCCCACAAGCCGTGAAGGCTCTGAGATGAGTTGAGCAGTTCCCTATTTTCTGTAGAGCCCAATAAAGTAACAGTGAATATTGTTTTACGCACTCATTCATTGAATGAAATTCCATCAAAATGTCACCGAAGAAGTTATAGGTCATCCACAACGTAGCACGTACGCTTTGTGCTTGACTTATAGCTTCTTCTGTGATAGTTCAATGAAAGTTCATATCAAAGAATGGGTGAGAAATTAGGGTGCTCCTCCGACAGTAACGCTTAAAAGGTGCGGTCACCAATAGGTTAATGGGTGCTAACAATAAATATATCCGGACCAAAGAGTTATGTAAATAATGTCACCGGAACCGGAGCGATAACAACTACAAGCATTATTTTCAAACCAGGCGGCTACGCACACTATCGCGTGCACTTGGGGCTCTAGCCGTAAGGGACGGAGCCACATGAGCTTCTGATTTCCCTTATAGACCTTTATCATCTGAGCATGTTCCCTGATACTTCTGTAGCGGGTACCTTTTTTGTCTCATGGTGAGCGTGCAATTTTTTCGCTAGATAACGAAAATTCGGGCTGACCGGCAAGCAGTTCAAGAAGGGTGTTTGATGTGCAATAGAAAAGTTTGTGCAGCTCGGCTGGAGTATTAGCATGATATATATAACACGTGATTTTGAAACATGATTTATCAACGAAACACTTCTGTATACACAATACTCTTCAGCAAGGGCAACGGGGCTTGATCAAGCAATAACTTCAACCTTTTGTTATCTTAATTAACAAATATTTTGGTTTGGGCTGTGTGTGGTCACAAAGAGCACTCATGTGAATTGGGGTGGCGTGTGGCCACGAAAACTAATTTTGAGAGGACAGTACCCTTCGGTAGTTGTAGGGATTACACGTCTCTATAGGGTATGCACCTGTGTGGTCGGGGCTACTGTAGAGGTCTTTCACAGTTTGTTTTCAAAGGCTGATGTATCCGAATTAAACACCTCTGCAGTCCGTGCGATCGATGCAGTTCTGTTTGGTTTAGGCTATGTGTGGTCATGAAGAGTACTCCGATGTATCCAAATCAAATGCCTCTGCAGCCCATGTTGTCGAAGAAACTCGGTGTAGTTTGGGTTGTGTGTGGTGTAGGCGACGAAATTTCGTGTAGTTTGGGCCGTGTATGGTCATGAAGAGTACTCCTTGAAATTGGGTTGTGTATAGCCATGAACACTAACTTTGTAAGGGCAGCGCCTCCAGGTAGTTGTAGGGATTTGCTCATCTCTGCAGGGTATGCACCTGTGTGGTTTTTCCCACTGTAGACTTCTGTCAGATTTTTTTGTGAGGCTTTTGTATCCAAATCATATTCCTTTCAAGTCCATGTTGTTGACGAAATTTTGAGTAGTTCATGCTGTGTATGGTCATGAAAAGTACTCCATGAAGTGGGGCTGTGTATAGCCATGAACACTAATTTTGAGAGAAAAGGACCTTTGGGTAGTTGTAGGGATTCACTCATTTCTGCAGGGTATGCACCTGTGTGGTTTTTCCCACTGTAGACTTCTGTCGGATTTTTTTTTTTTTGAGAGGCTTTTGTATCCAAATCATATTACTTTCGAGTCCACGTAGTTGAC